GTCCAGATTTTCACTGAATGGGAAACAACTGGATTTTTAAGCTTAATTTTAAGGGTAGGTAATGCCGAATATATCAGAGTCTTTAGTGAAGTGGGGGAACAACTTTGATATTCCATCCATGCCCAGCCAGCCCCGTTTATGACACCAAAAAGAAAGGAACGTATATTACAAGACCAATAATAGAGCTGAAAACAAGGCAACCCCATACCTCCTGTAGATGTTGGTCTCTGTAAGAATGTTTTTTTTAATTCTAGGAGTCTTTTTATTCCATATAAAGTTAGATATTAAAGAATCTAACTTCTTGAAAAAAACTTTGGTAATGAGAATCGGAATGCACTGGAAGAGGAATAAAAACTTGGGTAGAATATTCATTTTGATGATATTGATTCGTCCTGCTAATGAAATTGGAAAGTTAGCTCATCTATCTAGGTCCTGTACTGTTTGATCATATAGTTTTGAAAAGTTATGTTTAAAAAGACTGGAGTATTCTTGGGTTATATTAATTCCAAAGTATTTGAATTTACCTGAAGTTGCAAATGGGTAGGATGTGAAAGAATTAATACTTTGGTGTGCTTTTACATTTATCGGGAATAGTATGCTCTTTGATAAATTGAGTTTGTATCCTGAGATACCTCCAAAATCTGATATTATGGACATTATGATTGGTAATGATATTGCAGGTTTGGAGATATATAGTAATAAATCATTTGTGTATAGCGATTTGTATTCAGTCCCTTCTCTTTTTATTCCTATATATTCCTTTGCTGTGCGTAGTGAAACAGCAAAGGGTTCGATGGCTAAGGCAAATAATAATGGTGATAAGGACATCCCTGTCTTGTAGAGCGGCTCAGTGGAAAGTAACTGGACCTAATATTGTTTGTCTGTATGGAGGCCTGCGGTTTTGCATATAATAATCTAATTAGGGAAACAAATCTGGTGCCGAATCCGAACCTTGACAAGGCCGAGAAGAGGTAGTCCCATTCGACCCTGTCGAAGGCCTTCTCCACATCCAAAGATATTAGTATCTCGGGAAGCTGGTTGTTTGTTTCCTGGTTGTAAATTATATTAAATAAATTTCTGATATTGAAATACAACTGTCTATCTTTTATGAATCCAGTTTGATCATGAGAAATTATTGTTGGAAGGATATCTTCCAATCGTGTAGCTAAAATCTTAGCAAGAATCTTATTATCAACATCCAGTAAGCTCACTGGTCTGTATGAACCTGGTTCTAGCGGATCTTTATCTTTCTTATAAATTAAGGAGATGCTGGCATGATAGAAAGTAGGTGGTAGACAACCTTTGATCAGTGCTTCATTAAATACTTCTAACAGTATCGGTGATAGTTGGTTTTTAAATGCTTTATAAAATTCTGCAGTGTAGCCGTCTGGACCTGGGCCTTTGAGCTTTGCATGTTTTGTATTGCTTTTTCTATTTCCTCTTTTGTTATGGGTTTTTCTAACTGTTGTTCGTATTCCGAGCTTATTGTTGGGATGTTCAATTTATCAAAGAAGTTCTCAATTAATGTTGAGTCTTCTTCAGATTCTGAGGAGTATCATTTTATATAAAATTCTTTAAAGGTATTATTAATCTCTACAGGATCTATTGTAGTTTGTCCTGAATCTGTTCTTATTTCCAAAATTAATCTTGTTGCCGCTTGTTCTCTTATTTGATGTGTTAATATCTTTCCAGCCTTTTCTCCATATTCATAATGTTTATGTCTTCTTTGGTAAGGAGTTTCGTTGTTTCTGTTGTATACAGTAAGTTGAGTTCTGTTTGAAGATATAGTTTTCGTTTATGCAAGTCTGGTGAAGGGAGATTGAGTATTTTTTATCTATTTCCACTATTTCCTTTGTAAGTTTGTTTTCCTTGTCTCTACGCTGTTTATTAATTAAGCTGCTCCATGAAATTATCTGTCCTCTCATATAAGCTTTTAGAGCCTCCCACAGTGTAGATCTTGATATTTCTGGTGTATCATTAGTAAATAAATACAGATCCATTTGTTTTTTTATTTCCTCTACAGATTTTTTATCCAACAACAAGCAATTATCAAACCTCCATACTCTAGATGTATGTTTGTGTCCAAGAGCTAAATGGAGAGCTACAGGACTATGATCAGAGAGTACTATTGTTTCATATTCACAGCTTTTAACTGATGATAACAGTTTGGAGTCTATCAAGAAAAAATCTATTCTGGAGTAGGAATGGTGGACTGGAGAGAAGTAAGAGTATTTACATGTATTCGAAAACAAAGCTCTCCATGGATCTGTTATTTTATATGTTTGCATAAAGTTATGAATAACTTTTGCTGATTTTGATATAGCTATTGGCCTATGTGAAGACCGGTCCAAACTCGGGTCCAATACTAGGTTGAAGTCACCCCCAAGAATGAGCTGATGAGATTCCATATCCGGTAATTTTGAAAAGAAAGATTGTATAAAGTGCTCATTATCTACATTGGGAGCATATATGTTTGCTAGTATTACTGGATTATTATACAAGTTCCCTGTTACTATGATATATCTTCCTTTAGGGTCTGATATGATTGTAGATGCCGTGAAAGGGATTGCTCTCTTAGTTATTATTGCTGTGCCTCTACTTTTAACATTAAATTTGAAATGGAATACTTGTCCTACCCATTTGCAACGGAGTCTGTTATGATGTTGGTTTTTCAAATGTGTTTCTTGTAGAAACCCAATTTCTGTTCCAAGTTTTTCCAGATGCGCTAGAATATTGCCTCGCTTTACGGCCCCATTGAGTCCCTTGCAGTTCCATGTAATGAATTTGACCAAGTTCTGCAACACTGCTTTGCTAAGGTTAGTGTTTTTAGCCATCATTATAGCACTTCATGGTAAATGCTCCCATATTTACGGTTTTTGTAGACATCCTCCATAGTAAAAAAAAAATTAAAAAAAACATGAATAAAAATGAACAACAAAAATACCCCCTTGAAACTTAACTTAGACCTCACTCTGTCTTTCCCCAAACGAAAGACATACCTGGCAAAACCAAAAAGAAGAGCTACATGGACATATGACTCACCACTTAGCTCCAGTAAGTGTTTTATCTTTTGTTTCTAGACCAGCTTATGACTACAAACAATACTTTCTAAGAACCTTCTCCGCTTCTTAACTTCTCAACGAGTGTATTTATGAGTGAGTACAAAAATTAAATTAAAATTCCTTTTCCCCAGTTTCCTATTTTGATCTTGACAAAAAGTAAATCTGGTATGTAAATTTAGTATTATTTGTAACATAATTAGTGACTTATCACAAAGATAAATAATAGCATAACAAATTGAATTCTTCAATTCCTCCTTATTGGGAAAGGATAAGTAGGAAAAGGAAAGCAATAACGATTTGCAAAAACAAAAAAAAGTTTTTTGTCAACTAACCTGACTTTTTTTTATAAGGACATCTGTCTGAAACTCACATGTCTGCAGGGAAATCCAACCTGTATGATGTTCATATATTCAGCCTGATAATTAACAGATTGGCTGGTCTCCTCTTATTCCGATCGTATTATGCAGTTTTTATTCCGTTCCCTCAACAAGGTGTAGTGGAGATGCTTTTGATGGGTCGTTGAATGTGTGTCTGGAGCCGTCCACTGTTATTATCAGTCTCGCTGGATAATACAGGCTGTATGGGACTCCAGCGGTCCGCAGCTTGGCTTTTACCTGGTTGAAAGATGCTCGCAGCCGGCCAACCTCAGGGCTCATATCGGGGAAGATGTGGACGGGGGAACCTTTATAATGAAGACGTCCTTTATTCCGGGATAATGTTAGGATCTTTTCCTTGTCGGAGTAGTGTAGGCGAATAATCATGGCTCATGGGCGTTCGTCTTTCCGTGGCTTCGGTGCGAGGGTCCGGTGAGCCCGGTCTATGATGATAGGTGATGCAAAGTTTTCCTCACCGAGCACTTCGGCGAGAAACTCCGCTGCAAACCGGCTCGGGTTGCCGGCCTCAACGCCCTCTGCCATACCGATGATACGTAGATTTTGTCTGCGGCTTCTGTTCTCAAGATCTGTGCATTTATCCTGTAGCCTCTTTAACTCCTTCGTTAGCGATTCGTGCGAATCCTCCAGAGTTACAAGTCTGTGAGAGGCGTCGTTGAGTGATGTTTCCATTTCTTTTCTCAGCGTGTGTTGAGAGTTCATCTCGCAGCGCTTTGGTATCCGCTTTAGCTTCTTCTCGAAGAGATGACATATCTTTACATATCTCGAGCTGCGTGTTTACCGTCTCGATAAGCCTGTAGCTCGTTCCGAAGAGTTCTCACAGAAATAGGCAAGTCGTCTTCTTGTTCCCCGCCCGCCATCTTGTGACTTTCACCATTGGGGGCCGAGGCCGGAGAAGAAGTTTGCTAAGTTTTTTGCATGAATCTCCGACTGCTCTCCTTCTTCATGTCAGAATAAGTTTAGTCTCGTCGTCCGATGTCAGAATAAGTTTTGTCTCGTCGTCCGATGTCAGAATAAGTTTAGTCTCGTCGTCCGATGTCAGAATAAGTTTTGTCTCGTTGTCCGATGTCATAATAAGTTTTGTCTCGTTGTCCGATGTCAGAATATGGTCTTAAATATGTTTTATGGTCTAGAAAGTTAAATGTTATAAGGTTGTACGGAGCTGGCTCTACCTGCTGCTCACTCTGAGGGGAAAACACATTTAATATAAATACGAGACAGATAAGATAAGAGCACGACAAAAATAAAAAATGTTGTTTTATGCTGAACAGGTTTTTTTTATATCGTGGAGATTTCTTGCGTACCACCACAGGGAGTTTGAGTACCATAGTTTGAGAACCACTGGTCTACAGGATCAGATTCATTTTCAACACTGGAGGTTACTGCTTGAGACGAACTCCACGGTGCATCGGTGACCTTTGGATCAGTTCAGATCTCAGTTCAACGTGTTTGAGATTTTTGGGGAAACTCTCCTAGAAGTTTTTTCTGGTTCTAAAAGAAAGACGTTATTTTAAAGTATCGGGAGAATAAACGAAGCAGAGTTCAGTTTGTTTGTAAGAAAGATTTCGAAGAGTTTATTCTAAAACAGTAAAAAAACGACGACATCACCTCGCTGTAGGTACAAACAGTCGTTAGCGTGCAGCAGGTACGGCGCACCTCGCCGCCGCTCTCACATCAAAAAACACGTTTTAAAGAGTAAAAGCAACGACTCCTTTCATTCACAGAATGAAAACAACGATTCACCACGACCTCCTCGGGTGTGTGACGGCGGCGTCTGCCGAGGGGAAGGCGTTCCCGACGTCATCTCAGAGCTTCAGGCCTCTGATTGGCTCAGAGGAATGATGATGTCGTCTGCAGTCGGACGCCGTCTTCTCGTTGTTTTAGCGTTTGGCTCTCTTGGGGGGGGGCTCGTCTGATTTCCCCCCCCGCGTCCGCACAGCAGGGGGGCTGGCCTCCCTTTTGCGGCCCCCCTTGACCGCTGCAGCCTGGCCCCTCGTCCCGCTGCGGGAAAGAAACAAGGAGGAAGAGTGAGATGTGACCTTTTGTCTCTGTGGATTCACGGCGAGCACAGCGAGGATCAAACACAAGACGGATTTCTAAACGTGACGACACACACGACGAGTTCCTGAAGTTCTGCTGAAACATCAAAGAGTCAAACTCACCGCGTGCCCGCTGCGGTCTCGTCTTTACCCGTCAGACGACTCGCCCGGGTCGACGGTTTGCTCGGCTTGTTTCTGAAAAACAATAAAAAAATAAACATGAAACAACAGTCGCTGCTCGGTCTGGATCCCTAAAGGTCTGGATCCCTAAAGGTCTCTGTCTTGGAGACTCTGGTCTCTGATCTCTGTGTGGTCCGGTCTCTGGACTCTGGTCTCTGGTCTCAGCAGGTTAAACATGGTCTCTGTGTGGCCTGGTCTCTGGTCTGTGGTCTGTGGTCTCTGGTCTGTGGTCTGTGGTCTCTGGTCTCTGGTCTGTGGTCTGTGGTCTCTGGTCTGTGGTCTGTGGTCTCTGGTCTGTGGTCTGTGGTCTCTGGTCTCTGGTCTGTGGTCTGTGGTCTCTGGACTCTGGACTCTGGACTCTGGTCTCTGGTCTCTGGTCTCTGGTCTCTGGTCTCTGGTCTCTGTGTGGCCTGGTCTCTGGTCTCTGGTCTGTGGTCTGTGGTCTGTGGTCTGTGGTCTCTGGACTCTGGACTCTGGACTCTGGACTCTGGACTCTGGACTCTGGACTCTGGTCTCTGTGTGGCCTGGTCTCTGGTCTCTGGTCTGTGGTCTGTGGTCTCTGGTCTCTGGTCTCTGGACTCTGGACTCTGGACTCTGGTCTGTGGTCTGTGGTCTGTGGTCTGTGGTCTGTGGTCTGTGGTCTCTGGACTCTGGACTCTGGTCTCTGGACTCTGGACTCTGGTCTCTGGACTCTGGACTCTGGTCTCTGGACTCTGGACTCTGGACTCTGGTCTCTGGACTCTGGACTCTGGACTCTGGACTCTGGTCTCTGGTCTCTGGTCTCTGGACTCTGGTCTCTGGACTCTGGTCTCTGGTCTCTGGACTCTGGACTCTGGACTCTGGTCTCTGGTCTCTGGTCTCTGGACTCTGGACTCTGGACTCTGGACTCTGGACTCTGGTCTCTGGTCTCTGGTCTCTGGTCTCTGGACTCTGGTCTCTGGACTCTGGACTCTGGTCTCTGGACTCTGGACTCTGGACTCTGGACTCTGGTCTCTGGTCTCTGGACTCTGGACTCTGGACTCTGGTCTCTGGTCTCTGGTCTCTGGTCTCTGGTCTCAGCAGGTTAAGCATGACCTCATTCAGCAGTTTGTTGATCACTGAATGTTTGAAATGTAAAATGTGAGCGGTGACCTTTCAGCCTCCAGACGAGACGCCGCCCGTGTGGTCGCTCTGGTCGCCTTTCCTTTTCCCTCCTCGTCCCGCTCGCCGTCGTCCTCGTCCTCGTCTTCGTTCTGCTCGCTGTCTTCGGCCTTTTTGTCTTTTTTATCTGGAGGACAGAGAGTTTGAATTCAAACATGACACGGTCTACTTTATCACCACTGTACTGGGCCAGCAGGATCAGCTGTTTCAGTACTGGGAGTACTGGGAGGTCTGGGACGTTAGAGGACTTCCTCACCTGAGTCCTCTGCAGCTGATGCTCCCTTCGCCGGTCGTCCCCTCCGACCTGATCTCTTTGGAGTCGTCTCCTCCTGCTGCTGAAAAAACAACAAATATGAAAGTTCTTTAAATGTGAAGCTCTGAAGTCTGTCGTGTGTTTCACAGCCACCTGAGGAATTATGAGACTCAGGTCAGGTCCCTTATTACATCACACATTACATCACATATTACATCACATATTACATCACATATTACATCACATATTACATCACATATTACATCACATATTACACAGACTTCACAATGTTTAAACCCAATGAACGGTCAGATCTGGGTGAAGTGTAAAACACAATCAGTGTGTACGATAATGATCTGTGTAAGATAATGATCTGTGTACGATAATGATCTGTGTACGATAATGATCTGTGTAAGATAATGATCTGTGTAAGATAATGATCTGTGTACGATAATGATCTGTGTACGATAATGATCTGTGTACGATAATGATCTGTGTACGATAATGATCTGTGTAAGATAATGATCTGTGTACGATAATGATCTGTGTAAGATAATGATCTGTGTAAGATAATGATCTGTGTACGATAATGATCTGTGTACGATAATGATCTGTGTACGATAATGATCGGTGTACGATAATGATCTGTGTACGATAATGATCTGTGTAAGATAATGATCTGTGTACGATAATGATCTGTGTACGATAATGATCTGTGTACGATAATGATCTGTGTACGATAATGATCTGTGTACGATAATGATCTGTGTACGATAATGATCGGTGTACGATAATGATCTGTGTACGATAATGATCTGTGTACGATAATGATCTGTGTACGATAATGATCGGTGTACGATAATGATCTGTGTACGATAATGTCTCTTCATATCCAGGTGTTGGAGACGCCCAGGAGCTAAAACCAGAGCCAGTGTTGTTCCTGCTGAACTTACCAACAGTTCTCTCTAACCTTCTGCTCCTAGTGAGGCCTCCATCAGTCACACAGTGCTACAGAGGAACATGTGTGTGTGTGTGTGTGTCTCTGTGTGTGTCTCTCTGTGTGTCTCTCTGTGTGTCTCTCTGTGTGTCTCTCTCTGTGTGTCTCTCTCTGTGTGATGTGTGTGTGTGTCTCTGTGTGTGTCTCTCTGTGTGTCTCTCTCTGTGTGTCTCTCTGTGTGTCTCTCTGTGTGTGTCTCTCTGTGTGTCTCTCTGTGTGTCTCTCTGTGTGTGTGTCTCTCTGTGTGTCTCTCTGTGTGTCTCTCTGTGTGTCTCTCTGTGTGTCTCTCTGTGTGTGTGTCTCTCTGTGTGTCTCTCTCTGTGTGTCTCTCTGTGTGTCTCTGTGTGTCTCTGTGTGTCTGTGTGTCTCTGTGTGTGTCTCTCTGTGTGTCTCTGTGTGTCTCTGTGTGTGTCTCTCTGTGTGTGTCTCTCTGTGTGTCTCTCTGTGTGTGTCTCTCTGTGTCTCTCTGTGTGTGTCTCTCTGTGTGTGTCTCTCTGTGTGTCTCTCTCTGTGTGTCTCTCTGTGTGTCTCTCTGTGTGTGTCTCTCTGTGTGTCTCTCTGTGTGTGTCTCTCTGTGTGTCTCTCTGTGTGTCTCTCTGTGTGTCTCTGTGTGTCTCTCTGTGTGTCTCTCTGTGTGTCTCTCTGTGTGTCTCTCTGTGTGTCTCTCTGTGTGTCTCTGTGTCTCTCTGTGTGTCTCTGTGTGTCTCTCTGTGTGTCTCTCTGTGTGTCTCTCTGTGTGTCTCTGTGTCTCTCTGTGTGTCTCTGTGTGTCTCTGTGTGTCTCTCTGTGTGTCTCTCTGTGTGTCTCTCTGTGTGTCTCTCTGTGTGTCTCTGTGTGTCTCTCTGTGTGTCTCTGTGTCTCTCTGTGTGTCTCTCTGTGTGTCTCTGTGTCTCTCTGTGTGTCTCTCTGTGTGTCTCTGTGTCTCTCTGTGTCTCTCTCTGTGTGTCTCTCTGTGTGTCTCTCTGTGTGTGTCTCTCTGTGTGTCTCTGTGTGTCTCTCTGTGTGTCTCTCTGTGTGTCTCTGTGTGTCTCTGTGTGTCTCTGTGTGTCTCTGTGTGTCTCTCTGTGTGTCTCTCTGTGTCTCTCTCTGTGTGTCTCTCTGTGTGTCTCTCTCTGTGTGTCTCTGTGTGTCTCTCTGTGTGTCTCTCTGTGTGTCTCTGTGTGTCTCTCTGTGTGTCTCTGTGTGTCTCTGTGTGTCTCTGTGTCTCTCTGTGTCTCTCTCTGTGTGTGTCTCTCTGTGTGTCTCTCTGTGTGTCTCTCTGTGTGTCTCTCTGTGTGTCTCTCTGTGTGTCTCTCTGTGTCTCTCTGTGTGTCTCTGTGTGTCTCTGTGTGTCTCTCTGTGTGTCTCTGTGTGTGTGTGTGTCTCTGTGTGTCTCTGTGTGTCTCTCTGTGTCTCTCTGTGTGTCTCTGTGTGTCTCTGTGTGTCTCTCTGTGTGTCTCTGTGTGTCTCTGTGTCTCTCTGTGTGTCTCTCTGTGTCTCTCTGTGTGTCTCTGTGTGTCTCTGTGTGTCTCTCTGTGTGTGTGTGTCTCTGTGTGTCTCTGTGTGTCTCTCTGTGTGTCTCTGTGTGTCTCTGTGTGTCTCTGTGTGTGTGTGTGTCTCTGTGTGTCTCTGTGTGTCTCTGTGTGTCTCTGTGTGTCTCTGTGTGTGTGTGTGTCTCTGTGTGTCTCTCTGTGTGTCTCTGTGTGTCTCTGTGTCTCTCTGTGTGTCTCTCTGTGTCTCTCTGTGTGTCTCTGTGTGTCTCTGTGTGTCTCTGTGTGTGTGTGTGTCTCTGTGTGTCTCTGTGTGTCTCTCTGTGTGTCTCTGTGTGTCTCTGTGTGTCTCTGTGTGTGTGTGATGTGTTCAGGAGAAGCCTCCATCAGTCACACAGTGCTACAGAGAAACATTGAAGGTTTTTCCTCTGGAACACCTCAGAGCTAAATTAAAGGGCAATAACAACTTGTTTTATAAAATCGAATAACCCTTCATAGATTATCTTCCCACTGAACTGGTTCACTTATTGCAGAAAGGGTGTCCACACTTTATCTTACATACACATCATAGTCATGTTTTTCCCTTTCACATGTAATGGGTTAGATAAGATTGTATCTGATATACTGTACGTTATTATTGGTTTATTAATATTTTTTTTTTTTTCGTCTGTGCTGTCTTGTTCTATGTTTGTTGTGTGAAATATGAATAAATTATATATAAACCATTCAGAGCCACTTGTTTGTGAGTCACACCTCGTCTGGGGGCTTCTCGCTGCTCGTCTCCTCGACCTCCTTCTGACCTTCAGCCTGGACAACAGACGGCGAGCAAACTAGAAGAAGATCAACATGAATGATAAAATCATTTTAAACTCCATGAGAGGAACACACACTGGAAGTTTTAGAAAACGTGTGTGTGTGTGTGTGTGTGTGTGTGTGTGTGTGTGTGTGTGTCTCTGTTTGTGTGTGTGTGTGTGTGTGTGTGTGTGTGTGTGTTCTCTCACCTCTATCTTCTTGAGGTTGTTGTTCACTTTGCTCCGGCTGTGTGTCTTCTTCTTCTTCTTCTTCTTCTTCTTCCTGTTGTAAATATTGATGAGAGTTAAAGTGACTCAGGTTCATCTGGAGGATTAAAGCACAGGACTAACTCAGACACATCAGGGGGGGGGGGTCTGATACCTCGGGGGGGGGGTCTGATACCTCGGGGGGGGGGTCTGATACCTCCATCACATCATCTGTGATCTGTTTCTCCACTTCTTAAATTCTCACCTCCACTTCCTCCGAGCGCTTCCTCTTCAGCGTCGGTCCGCCTGGAATCAAAATATCACCGACATGTGAAACACAAGAACGACCTTTACACACGTCTAACCAACGGGTCAGCAAGGGCGGGCTTAATATCCATACAGCAATATACCATATACCAATAGACCACATGACACCTGAACCTGGACTTTGTATCGTACCGGTCTCTGTGGCGTCCGCAGCTTCACTTCCTTCAGGAGCAGCAGACGACACGTTCACCTGACGGCGCCCGCTCGTCTCTGATCCGCTCTCGTCCTCCGCTCGCTGCAGGTCAGTAAACGAAAGGATTCAGAGTTCACGTCCTGCTCGTGACGACGTCACGTCTGTGTTTGTTTACATACCGCTTCGGTCGGCGCCGCTCGATTGGGTGAACCATCTTCATCCTCGTCTTTATTCTCCGTCTTCTGATCGTCTGAGGTGAAAGAAAAGTGACATCACACTTCCTCATATCTGACCAATCACACGCCTTGTTCAGAGTCTAAAGGCGCCAGTCTTACCCGGAATCTTACTCGCCGCCGCCGCTCCTGAACGTCTTCCCCCACGGCTCCGAGGCTCCTCCTTCTCCACCTCCTCTGTGGTTTTGGATGATCGCCCCCTGCGTGGCGTTCTCACTTCCACAGCGTTCCCCTCATCAGGTTCCTGGGAAGTTCAAAGTTTTTAAAGCTCCGTCTTTTAGTCAGAAAGTGTCTGTGATCAACAGAACACAGAATCATGTGATCAACATGTGATCAACAGAACGCAGAATCATGTGATCAACAGAACGCAGAATCATGTGATCAACAGAACACAGAATCATGTGATCAACAGAACACAGAATCATGTGATCAACATGTGATCAACAGAACGCAGAATCATGTGATCAACAGAACACAGAATCATGTGATCAACATGTGATCAACAGAACGCAGAATCATGTGATCAACAGAACACAGAATCATGTGATCAACATGTGATCAACAGAACGCAGAATCATGTGATCAACAGAACGCAGAATCATGTGATCAACAGAACGCAGAATCATGTGATCATCAGAACGCAGAATCATGTGATCAACAGAACGCAGAATCATGTGATCAACAGAACACAGAATCATGTGATCATCAGAACACAGAATCATGTGATCAACAGAACGCAGAATCATGTGATCAACAGAACACAGAATCATGTGATCAACAGAACACAGAATCATGTGATCAACAGAACACAGAATCATGTGATCAACAGAACACAGAATCATGTGATCATCAGAACACAGAATCATGTGATCATCAGACCACAGAATCATGTGATCAACAGAACACAGAATCATGTGATCAACAGAACACAGAATCATGTGATCATCAGAACACAGAATCATGTGATCAACAGAACACAGAATCATGTGATCATCAGAACACAGAATCATGTGATCATCAGAACACAGAATCATGTGATCAACAGAACGCAGAATCATGTGATCAACAGAACACAGAATCATGTGATCAACATGTGATCAACAGAACGCAGAATCATGTGATCAACAGAACGCAGAATCATGTGATCATCAGAACACAGAATCATGTGATCAACAGAACGCAGAATCATGTGATCAACAGAACGCAGAATCATGTGATCATCAGAACGCAGAATCATGTGATCAACAGAACACAGAATCATGTGATCAACAGACCGCAGAATCATGTGATCATCAGACCACAGAATCATGTGATCATCAGAACACAGAATCATGTGATCAACAGAACACAGAATCATGTGATCATCAGAACGCAGAATCATGTGATCATCAGACCGCAGAATCATGTGATCAACAGAACGCAGAATCATGTGATCATCAGAACGCAGAATCATGTGATCAACAGAACACAGAATCATGTGATCAACAGAACACAGAATCATGTGATCATCAGAACACAGAATCATGTGATCAACAGAACACAGAATCATGTGATCATCAGAACACAGAATCATGTGATCAACAGAACACAGAATCATGTGATCATCAGACCACAGAATCATGTGATCATCAGAACACAGAATCATGTGATCATCAGACCACAGAATCATGTGATCAACAGTACACAGAATCATGTGATCATCAGACCACAGAATCATGTGATCAACATGTGATCAACAGAACGCAGAATCATGTGATCAACAGAACGCAGAATCATGTGATCAACAGAACACAGAATCATGTGATCAACATGTGATCAACAGAACGCAGAATCATGTGATCAACAGAACGCAGAATCATGTGATTAACAGAACGCAGAATCATGTGATCAACAGAACACAGAATCATGTGATCAACATGTGATCAACAGAACGCAGAATCATGTGATCAACAGAACGCAGAATCATGTGATCAACAGAACACAGAATCATGTGATCAACAGTACACAGAATCATGTGATCAACAGAACACAGAATCATGTGATCAACAGAACACAGAATCATGTGATCAACATGTGATCAACAGAACACAGAATCATGTGATCAACAGAACACAGAATCATGTGATCAACAGAACACAGAATCATGTGATCAACAGAACACAGAATCATGTGATCAACATGTGATCAACAGAACGCAGAATCATGTGATCAACAGAACACAGAATCATGTGATCAACATGTGATCAACAGAACACAGAATCATGTGATCAACAGAACACAGAATCATGTGATCAACAGTACACAGAATCATGTGATCAACAGAACACAGAATCATGTGATCAACATGTGATCAACAGAACACAGAATCATGTGATCAACAGACCACAGAATCATGTGATCAACATGTGATCAACAGAACACAGAATCATGTGATCAACAGAACACAGAATCATGTGATCAACAGAACACAGAATCATGTGATCAACAGAACACAGAATCATGTGATCAACATGTGATCAACAGAACACAGAATCATGTGATCAACATGTGATCAACAGAACACAGAATCATGTGATCAACATGTGATCAACAGAACACAGAATCATGTGATCAACATGTGATCAACAGAACACAGAATCATGTGATCAACAGAACACAGAATCATGTGATCAACAGTACACAGAATCATGTGATCAACAGAACACAGAATCATGTGATCAACATGTGATCAACAGAACACAGAATCATGTGATCAACAGAACACAGAATCATGTGATCAACATGTGATCAACAGAACACAGAATCATGTGATCAACATGTGATCAACAGAACACAGAATCATGTGATCAACAGAACGCAGAATCATGTGATCAACAGAACACAGAATCATGTGATCAACAGAACACAGAATCATGTGATCAACAGTACACAGAATCATGTGATCAACAGAACGCAGAATCATGTGATCAACAGAACACAGAATCATGTGATCAACAGAACACAGAATCATGTGATCAACAGAACGCAGAATCATGTGATCAACAGAACACAGAATCATGTGATCAACAGAACACAGAATCATGTGATCAACAGAACACAGAATCATGTGATCAACATGTGATCAACAGAACACAGAATCATGTGATCAACAGAACACAGAATCATGTGATCAACATGTGATCAACAGAACACAGAATCATGTGATCATCAGAACACAGAATCATGTGATCAACAGAACACAGAATCATGTGATCATCAGACCACAGAATCATGTGATCATCAGACCACAGAATCATGTGATCAACATGTGATCAACAGAACGCAGAATCATGTGATCATCAGACACAGAATCATGTGATCATCAGAACACAGAATCATGTGATCATCAGACCACAGAATCATGTGATCAACAGTACACAGAATCATGTGATCATCAGACCACAGAATCATGTGATCAACATGTGATCAACAGAACGCAGAATCATGTGATCAACAGAACGCAGAATCATGTGATCAACAGAACACAGAATCATGTGATCAACATGTGATCAACAGAACGCAGAATCATGTGATCAACAGAACGCAGAATCATGTGATTAACAGAACGCAGAATCATGTGATCAACAGAACACAGAATCATGTGATCAACATGTGATCAACAGAACGCAGAATCATGTGATCAACAGAACGCAGAATCATGTGATCAACAGAACACAGAATCATGTGATCAACAGTACACAGAATCATGTGATCAACAGAACACAGAATCATGTGATCAACAGAACACAGAATCATGTGATCAACATGTGATCAACAGAACACAGAATCATGTGATCAACAGAACACAGAATCATGTGATCAACAGAACACAGAATCATGTGATCAACAGAACACAGAATCATGTGATCAACATGTGATCAACAGAACGCAGAATCATGTGATCAACAGAACACAGAATCATGTGATCAACATGTGATCAACAGAACACAGAATCATGTGATCAACAGAACACAGAATCATGTGATCAACAGTACACAGAATCATGTGATCAACAGAACACAGAATCATGTGATCAACATGTGATCAACAGAACACAGAATCATGTGAACAACAGACACAGAATCATGTGATCAACATGTGATCAACAGAACACAGAATCATGTGATCAACAGAACACAGAATCATGTGATCAACAGAACACAGAATCATGTGATCAACAGAACACAGAATCATGTGATCAACATGTGATCAACAGAACACAGAATCATGTGATCAACATGTGATCAACAGAACACAGAATCATGTGATCAACATGTGATCAACAGAACACAGAATCATGTGATCAACATGTGAAACAGAACACAGAATCATGTGATCAACAGAACACAGAATCATGTGATCAACAGTACACAGAATCATGTGATCAACAGAACACAGAATCATGTGATCAACATGTGATCACAGAACACAGAATCATGTGATCAACAGAACACAGAATCATGTGATCAACATGTGATCAACAGAACACAGAATCATGTGATCAACATGTGATCAACAGAACACAGAATCATGTGATCAACAGAACGCAGAATCATGTGATCAACAGAACACAGAATCATGTGATCAACAGAACACAGAATCATGTGATCAACAGTACACAGAATCATGTGATCAACAGAACGCAGAATCATGTGATCAACAGAACACAGAATCATGTGATCAACAGAACACAGAATCATGTGATCAACAGAACGCAGAATCATGTGATCAACAGAACACAGAATCATGTGATCAACAGAACACAGAATCATGTGATCAACAGAACACAGAATCATGTGATCAACATGTGATCAACAGAACACAGAATCATGTGATCATCAGAACACAGAATCATGTGATCAACAGAACACAGAATCATGTGATCATCAGACCACAGAATCATGTGATCATCAGACCACAGAATCATGTGATCAACATGTGATCAACAGAACACAGAATCATGTGATCAACAGTACACAGAATCATGTGATCAACAGAACACAGAATCATGTGATCAACATGTGATCAACAGAACACAGAATCATGTGATCATCAGACCACAGAATCATGTGATCATCAGACCACAGAATCATGTGATCAACATGTGATCAACAGAACACAGAATCATGTGATCAACAGTACACAGAATCATGTGATCAACAGAACACAGAATCATGTGATCAACATGTGATCAACAGAACACAGAATCATGTGATCAACAGAACACAGAATCATGTGATCATCAGAACACAGAATCATGTGATCATCAGACCACAGAATCATGTGATCATCAGACCACAGAATCATGTGATCAACATGTGATCAACAGAACACAGAATCATGTGATCATCAGACCACAGAATCATGTGATCAACATGTGATCAACAGAACACAGAATCATGTGATCATCAGACCACAGAATCATGTGATCAACATGTGATCAACAGAACACAGAATCATGTGATCATCAGACCACAGAATCATGTGATCAACATGTGATCAACAGTACACAGAATCATGTGATCAACAGAACACAGAATCATGTGATCAACATGTGATCAACAGAACACAGAATCATGTGATCATCAGACCACAGAATCATGTGATCATCAGAACACAGAATCATGTGATCAACAGAACACAGAATCATGTGATCAACATGTGATCAACAGACCACAGAATCATGTGATCAACATGTGATCAACAGAACACAGAATCATGTGATCATCAGAACACAGAATCATGTGATCAACAGAACACAGAATCATGTGATCAACAGAACACAGAATCATGTGATCAACAGACCACAGAATCATGTGATCATCAGAACGCAGAATCATGTGATCATCAGAACACAGAATCATGTGATCAACAGAACACAGAATCATGTGATCATCAGAACACAGAATCATGTGATCAACAGAACACAGAATCATGTGATCAACAGAACACAGAATCATGTGATCATCAGAACACAGAATCATGTGATCATCAGAACACAGAATCATGTGATCAAAGTCTTAAAGGGTTCAACTTGAATGTTTGGTAGTTTTGAGCAGAGCTGAAGATGTTTCAGAGATTTATGCAGAAAAAAGTAGAAAAAAGTTTTCTATAAGTGGACATGTTTGTCCTTGTTGACTTCAGAGGGTTAATAAAGTTCAGCAGCACACGCTGAGGCGTGATGGCGTGATGGCGTGATGGCGTCTGGGGGGTTAACGTGGTTGATATCTGCGATCTGTTTGGTGAACATTTTGACAATAAAGAAAAAGACATGCTAACACTTAGCTTAGCATACGGAGACCGGCTGAACGTACCTCTGCAGGCGCCGTCTCTTTACTTCCCCTCTCGTCTTTCTCGCCACCTGGCGAGTTTCAGAATAAACAGAATTCAAACGTTACGATCCTCGATCATCGTTTAGTCAGAAGGAGGGGGGGGGGGGGAGGGGAGGGCAGGAAACATGCAGCAGCAGGTTGATTAGAGCACGGAGATGGTAGAGGTGGCGTGCAGACAGTCTATGGTCGTGCAGCGATCACAGGGAATAAAGGTCACCACCCCCTCCCACTGGCTCCTCCCACTGGCCCCTCCCACCACCCCCTCCCACTGGCCCCTCCCACTGGCTCCAGGTGAATTCTCCTGATTATATCCTGCTGTGTTCTCACATCAGCTCACTCTGACTTTCTGCAGAATAAACACGAGGAGGCTGGAGGAGAAACTCTGAAGAGATTAGTGACAGCGACCTTCTTGCCCATTCTTGATTACGGGGACGTGCTTTATTTGAGTGCGTCATCCAAATGTCTCAAGTCCTTGGACACTATTTTTCATTCGGCACTGAGATTTCTCACTGGCTGTAGTCGTCTCACCCACCATTATGAATCGTATTTGAAATCCAACTTGCCTTCTTTGAGTGCACGCAGATACGCACATTGGCTGACCCTAATTGATAAGGCTCTTTTAGGCTTGATTCCTTTATATTTGTGAGCTTTATTACGGAGAACAAGCAGTCGCTATGCCCTGCGTTCTTGTACTACACTTGTTCTATCTGTTCCTCGGGTAAGGACTGAATCAGGAAAAAGAGCTTTCAGAATACTCTACAGACTGAACTAAAACTCCCTGAACTTATTCCACTTGGAGGCGTTCTGTCTTGAGGGACAGACAGTGAGACTATTGAACAGTGCCTGTGTTTTTAAAATCTTAAATAGTTGTTTTATTGTTGTGTCACAGCTCCCACACTTTCTTTTTATTGAAAACACCATGTTGTTAATCTGTACTGTCACTTCATTGTAACTGTTCTTATGACATGTGCTGCTGACCACTTGGCCAGGTCACCCTTGTGAAAGAGATCCTGATCTCAATGGGTTCTTATCTGGTTAAATAAAGGTTAATACAAAAAAGAGAGAAACATTCAGATGTTTGTGTTCATGATGCTCAGAGTGATAAACTTCAGGAAGTTTAGAGAGAAGCTGAGACTCACTGATTTGTTTGAGCAGCTTCGTCTGACTCTGTGAAGCCTCCGCTCCTCTCTCTCTCAGCTTCTCCTCCTCCGCTCCTCTCTCTCTCAGCTTCTCCTCCTCCGCTCCTCTCTCTCTCAGCTTCTCCTCCTCCGCTCCTCTCTCTCTCAGCTTCTCCTCCTCCGCTCCTCTCTCTCTCAGCTTCTCCTCCTCTAGGATCAGCGACTCCATCTGAACATAAATCATAAAATAAATTCATCATGAAAACATGCTGGGAAAGATGAGATATGGGATCTGTTTTGTCAACATGTTAAACTTAGGTCTTAGAATGGACCTGACTTGCATGCTCTGCCTAAGTGATTTTGGTATAAGATGTGCTGCTTTGTTTTAAAAACTGTTAAAAGTTAATAAAAAATTAAGTTACAAATTCAAAAAAATCATCACCACGGCAGAGACACAAAGTGAGTGTTTCATTGTCTACTTTCTTGATTCAGACTTGTTCAGATCTCTTTCTTTATCCTGAAATAAGATCTATATATCCTGACTTGTTAACACTCACAGTTTGATTTTCACTCAGAGCGGTTTCTTCCTCCTCCGTCTTCGTCTCAGCTTCACCTGAAAAAAAGAATCCAGTAGGTTCAGTTAATACAGGGTAAACATGTGATGTCATGGTGGGCGGAGTCACTGCACTGAGCTCGTACAGGAGTCGAGAATGAAGCGAGCAGTAAACGTCTTGTTCTATGACGTCTGTTCTCTGTGGGCGGTACGGATCCTCAGCTGGTACCGCAAAGCCACAGGAGGAGGAGGAGGAGGAGGTTTATCAGACAGTCAAAGTAAACCTGGACACGATGAATTTACTTCATGACCACCGCTCCAGTGAGATCGAACGAACAGATTCAACAAACAGACGACAGAAAGTGAAAAGAAGCAGACAAACATCTGGATCTCTGCTCCCTGAATACAGAGAAACATCTGGATCTCTCCTCCCCGACTACAGACAAACATCTGGATCTCTGCTCCCTGAATACAGAGAAACATCTGGATCTCTGCTCCCTGAATACAGAGAAACATCTGGATCTCTCCTCCCCGACTACAGACAAACATCTGGATCTCTGCTCCCTGAATACAGAGAAACATCTGGATCTCTCCTCCCCGACTACAGACAAACATCTGGATCTCTGCTCCCCGACTACAGAAAAACATCTGGATCTCTTCTCAGACAAACATCTGGATCTCTTCTCAGACAAACATCTGGATCTCTGCTCCCCGACTACAGAAAAACATCTGGATCTCTCCTCCCCGACTACAGAGGAACATCTGGATCTCTGCTCCCTGAATACAGAGAAACATCTGGATCTCTCCTCCCCGACTACAGAGAAACATCTGGATCTCTGCTCCCTGAATACAGAGAAACATCTGGATCTCTCCTCCCCGACTACAGACAAACATCTGGATCTCTGCTCCCTGAATACAGAAAAACATCTGGATCTCTGCTCCCCGACTACAGAAAAACATCTGGATCTCTCCTCCCCGACTACAGAGGAACATCTGGATCTCTGCTCCCTGAATACAGAGAAACATCTGGATCTCTCCTCCCCGACTACAGAAAAACATCTGGATCTCTGCTCCCTGAATACAGAAAAACATCTGGATCTCTCCTCCCCGACTACAGAAAAACATCTGGATCTCTCCTCCCCGACTACAGAGGAACATCTGGATCTCTGCTCCCTGAATACAGAGAAACATCTGGATCTCTCCTCCCCGACTACAGAAAAACATCTGGATCTCTCCTCCCCAACTACAGAGGAACATCTGGATCTCTCCTCAGACAAACATCTGGATCTCTTCTCAGACAAACATCTGGATCTCTCCTCCCCGACTACAGAGGAACATCTGGATCTCTCCTCCCCGACTACAGAGAAACATCTGGATCTCTCCTCCCCAACTACAGACAAACATCTGGATCTCTGCTCCCCGAATACAGAGAAACATCTGGATCTCTCCTCAGAGAAACATCTGGATCTCTCCTCCCCGACTACAGACAAACATCTGGATCTCTCCTCCCCAACTACAGAGGAACAGCTGGATCTCTCCTCCCCGACTGAGACGTTTATTTAGCTTCAAATCCAGAAGTGATGAAGCGGGTTCATGTGCGCCTTCATGCTGTGAAATCAGGTTCATATCAAAGTCAGAAGAAGAAATCTACAAAGTCCTCTCTTCAGTAAACTGTGGAACGTCTTTAAGCAGATAATAATAATAATAATAAGAAGAAGAAGAAGAAGAAGAAGAAGAAGAAATTTAATATTTAATCGTCTGTTTGACTCCGGGCTCAATGCATCTGCAGGACGCCGTGTTTCAGGATGTTTACAAACTTACTTTGTTCTGTGTCCGCCGCGTCGTCTTCAGCGTTAACTTCCTCCGTCTGCGAGTGGAAAAGATGAAATTCAACATTTAGTCTAAAACATATAAAAATATTTCAGGATCATTTAAAGGTTAGGGTTAGCGTTTTCATTCGTCACCTCGGGTCTCGTCTTTGTGTCCGTCAGGTCCGGTGCACTTTTCTCTAAAGTGTTAAAAAAACAACGAGTTAAACTTCAAACAAAGAGAAAGTCGTTTGGAACAACAGGAACGTGTTTCTCACCTTGTTTACTGGAATCAGACACAACTAACGCTGTGGCCCCTCCCACCTCGTCTGACGCAGCTTCTAAACAGCAGAAGGTCATAAAGGACGATTAGGATGAAGATGTCTTACAAACGCCACTCAGGAAATAACCAGAGAGAGTTGAGCAGGAGGAGCTTACCGTCTGGTTGTGATTCAGGAGGAGTCTCATCCTCCTTTGATTGGGTCTGAGCTTCATCTGAGGTGGTGTCAACTTCCTGTTGGAGAAATCATCTGTTTGAAACACGTTTTGTACCCAGCAGCAGCAGATCACAGCGTGTGTGAAAAACAACAAAGATGGAGATTCAAAGTTGAATTTCCAACATCAAGAAACACAGAAAAATACAAAAAAAGTCTCTTTCATGAAGACCTGAGTGGTCGGACCAATCAGAGCCCACGGTGCAACAAGGTCAATAAAAACAGCAGCAGACGTTTCACAGCGCAGCTCGAGGGTTCGATCCCCAGCTAACAGGAACTCTTTAACCAGGAACTCTAACCAGGAACTCTTTAACCAGGAACTCTAACCAGGAACTCTTTAACCAGGAACTCTTTAACCAGGAACTCTAACCAGGAACTCTTTAACCAGGAACTCTAACCAGGAACTCTTTAACCAGGAACTCTAACCAGGAACTCTAACCAGGAACTCTTTAACCAGGAACTCTAACCAGGAACTTTAACCAGGAACTCTTTAACCAGGAACTCTAACCAGGAACTCTAACCAGGAACTTTTACCAGGAACTAACCCTAACCAGGAACTGTAACCAGGAACTGTAATCAGGAACTGTAATCAGGAACTCTAATCAGGAACTCTAATCAGGAACTCTAACCAGGAACTGTAATCAGGAACTCTAATCAGGAACTCTAATCAGGAACTCTAATCAGGAACTCTAACCAGGAACTGTAATCAGGAACTGTAATCAGGAACTCTAACCAGGAACTCTAACCAGGAACTCTAATCAGGAACTCTAACCAGGAACTGTAATCAGGAACTGTAATCAGGAACTCTAACCAGGAACTCTAACCAGGAACTCTAACCAGGAACTGTAATCAGGAACTCTAACCAGGAACTCTAATCAGGAACTCTAACCAGGAACTGTAATCAGGAACTCTAACCAGGAACTGTAATCAGGAACTGTAATCAGGAACTCTAACCAGGAACTGTAATCAGGAACTCTAACCAGGAACTGTAATCAGGAACTCTAACCAGGAACTCTAATCAGGAACTCTAACCAGGAACTGTAATCAGGAACTCTAACCAGGAACTGTAATCAGGAACTGTAATCAGGAACTCTAACCAGGAACTGTAATCAGGAACTGTAATCAGGAACTCTAACCAGGAACTGTAATCAGGAACTCTAACCAGGAACTCTAATCAGGAACTCTAACCAGGAACTGTAATCAGGAACTCTAACCAGGAACTGTAATCAGGAACTGTAATCAGGAACTCTAACCAGGAACTGTAATCAGGAACTGTAATCAGGAACTCTAACCAGGAACTGTAATCAGGAACTCTAACCAGGAACTCTAACCAGGAACTCTAATCAGGAACTCTAACCAGGAACTGTAATCAGGAACTGTAATCAGGAACTCTAACCAGGAACTCTAACCAGGAACTCTAATCAGGAACTCTAATCAGGAACTCTAACCAGGAACTCTAACCAGGAACTGTAATCAGGAACTCTAACCAGGAACTGTAATCAGGAACTGTAATCAGGAACTCTAACCAGGAACTCTAACCAGGAACTCTAATCAGGAACTCTAACCAGGAACTGTAATCAGGAACTCTAACCAGGAACTCTAACCAGGAACTCTAATCAGGAACTCTAATCAGGAACTCTAACCAGGAACTCTAACCAGGAACTCTAATCAGGAACTCTAACCAGGAACTGTAACCAGGAACTGTAATCAGGAACTGTAATCAGGAACTCTAATCAGGAACTCTAACCAGGAACTCTAACCAGGAACTCTAACCAGGAACTGTAACCAGGAACTCTAATCAGGAACTCTAACCAGGAACTCTGGACCTCTGCAGGAACCCGGATCTAAATATGTGGACGGGTGGCAGTACTTTCCAAAGGACCAGAGACCTTGGGGGGCCTGAAGAGCTGAAAGTCTCTGATTGGTCAGCCACTTGGAGCGTTTTAGGTCACAGACTGTAAACTCACTATCTGTATATTTATCGTGCTGTGCTTTGCTTCCAGCGCAACAAGCTGAACCTCCTGCATGCTAACAGGCTAACTGTCCTGCATGCTAACATGCTAACAGGCTAACAGTCCTGCATGCTAACAAGCTAACTGTCCTGCTTGCTAACAGGCTAACTGTCCTGCATGCTAACAAGCTAACAGGCTAACAGTCCTGCATGCTAACATGCTAACAGTCCTGCATGCTAACAGGCTAACTGTCCTGCATGCTAACAGGCTAACTGTCCTGCATGCTAACAGGCTAAATGTCCTGCATGCTAACATGCTAACTGTCCTGCATGCTAACAGGCTAACTGTCCTGCATGCTAACATGCTAACAGTCCTGCATGCTAACAGGCTAACTGTCCTGCATGCTAACAGTCCTGCATGCTAACAGGCTAAATGTCCTGCATGCTAACAAGCTAACTGTCCTGCATGCTAACATGCTAACTGTCCTGCATGCTAACAGACTAACTGTCCTGCTTGCTAACATGCTAACTGTCCTGCATGCTAACATGCTAACAGGCTAACAGTCCTGCATGCTAAAAGGCTAACAGTCCTGCTTGCTAACAGGCTAACTGTCCTGCATGCTAACATGCTAACAAGCTAACTGTCCTGCATGCTAACATGCTAACTGTCCTGCATGCTAACAGGCTAACTGTCCTGCATGCTAACATGCTAACTGTCCTGCATGCTAACATGCTAACAGTCCTGCTTGCTAAAAGGCTAACAGTCCTGCTTGCTAACAGGCTAACTGTCCTGCATGCTAACATGCTAACAAGCTAACTGTCCTGCATGCTAACATGCTAACTGTCCTGCATGCTAACAGGCTAACTGTCCTGCATGCTAACATGCTAACTGTCCTGCATGCTAACATGCTAACAGTCCTGCTTGCTAAAAGGCTAACAGTCCTGCTTGCTAACAGGCTAACTGTCCTGCATGCTAACATGCTAACAAGCTAACTGTCCTGCATGCTAACATGCTAACTGTCCTGCATGCTAACAGGCTAACTGTCCTGCATGCTAACATGCTAACTGTCCTGCATGCTAACATGCTAACAGTCCTGCTTGCTAAAAGGCTAACAGTCCTGCTTACTAACAGGCTAACTGTCCTGCATGCTAACATGCTAACAAGCTAACTGTCCTGCATGCTAACATGCTAACTGTCCTGCATGCTAACAGGCTAACTGTCCTGCATGCTAACAGGCTAACAGTCCTGCTTGCTAACATGCTAACTGTCCTGCATGCTAACATGCTAACAAGCTAACTGTCCTGCATGCTAACATGCTAACAGGCTAACTGTCCTGCATGCTAACAGGCTAACAGTCCTGCTTGCTAACATGCCAAGTGATTATCGCCTCTGACATTTTTTTTTTGTTTAAAGATTTATTTTTGGGCTCTTTGTGTGGATAGAGTCTGAAATCAGGGAGAGAGAGGGGAATGACATGCAGGAAAGAAGCCACAGGTGGGATGTGAACCTGGGCCGCCCGCTTGAGACGACAGCCTCCATACATGGGGCGCGCGCACTAACCACTGAGCCACCAGCGCCCCTCCTCTGACATTTTAACAGTTTATCTCTGATGAGTAGTGACAGCTTCACCTCGCTGTAAAAACATCAGATGTAATACGATCTTTATTTTGTACCTGCAGAGCGACAGACTGGGAATCGAACTCGCCAACGTCCATTTCTTTCTCTGTCGTTTCAGATAAATCTGTAAGAGAGAAGAATCTTTAGGGGAACATTTTGATGTTGTCAGCTTTTTTTTTTAAAACACACTCTCTACCTGCAGCTTCTTGTTGCAGCTCTGTTTCCTGACATGTGACTGATGACGTCTCCTTTAAAGAATCAGCTGCTTCCACCTGAGGAGGAGGAGGAGCCTCTTCTTCTTCTCTTCCATCCCGGCCCAAGGTGGAGGTCACTGTGCTGTCAGGATCCATGGAGAGCAGCGTCAGAGCTGCTTCTTTCATCTTCATGTCGGCGTCCTCCAGCTCGGGCGGCGCCTCCTCTTCGCCTCGCTCATGTGGAAGTCTCGCCTCTGCTGAGGTGCAAACGTCCATGAGAGCGAGCAGGGCGTCAGCCTCCGCCGGCATCTCGCTGAGTCGGGACTCAGTGTCGCTCTCTGGTGGCTCTGGGGTGATGTCGCTTAACGCATCGCAGGTGTCGTCAGAGAAGGAGGTGGTGACGGGGGCGGAGTCTGTCTTCAGCGCCTCCTCTGCATCGAGGCTCTGACAGGAAACAGACTTTGAGGGCCTCTCACATCTTTCTTTCTTCTCTCTCTTCTTTGTGCTCTTCACTTCTGGTTTCTCCTGGAGGGGTTCCTCAGGGACTTTCTTCTGGAGGGGTTCCTCAGGGACTTTCTTCTGGAGGGGTTCCTCAGGGACTTTCTCCTGGAGGGGTTCCTCAGGGACTTTCTCCTGGAGGGGTTCCTCAGGGACTTTCTTCTGGAGGGGTTCCTCAGGGACTTTCTCCTGGAGGGGTTCCTCAGGGACTTTCTCCTGGAGGGGTTCCTCAGGGACTTTCTCCTGGAGGGGTTCCTCAGGGACTTTCTTCTGGAGGGGTTCCTCAGGGACTTTCTCCTGGAGGAGTTCCTCAGGGACTTTCTTCTGGAGGGGTTCCTCAGGGACTTTCTCCTGGAGGAGTTCCTCAGGGACTTTCTTCTGGAGGGGTTCCTCAGGGACTTTCTCCTGGAGGGGTTCCTCAGGGACTTTCTTCTGGAAGGGTTCCTCAGTGACTTTCTCCTGGAGGGGTTCCTCAGGGACTTTCTTCTGGAAGGGTTCCTCAGTGACTTTCTCCTGGAGGAGTTCCTCAGGGACTTTCTGTTCTTTCTTCTTCTCTGGTTTGCTCACCGCCGCCCCCCCCACACTTCTTACTTCTGAAGCTTTATTGTCCCCCTTTGATGATGACACCGTCTTAGCTTCCTCTTTGGATTTGGATTTAGATTTCTCAAAGTTTTTCCCTCTCTCTGTCGTCTTGAGCTTGTTTGACTTCACGATGTCTTGATCTTTAGGTTTGGCTTTTTCCCCGGCTCGCTCCTCGCTCTGGCTCTTGGACCTCTTCACAACTTCTTTGGAGTGTTTGTCTTTCTTCTTGCTGCTGTCGGATCCCAGCTCCAGGTCCGAGCGCTCCTCAGAGGAGCCAGTGGAGTCTGGGCGGAGCTTCAGGTCTCCTCTAGCTGAGCTGTTCTCTTTCTTCTCTTTCTTCTCTCTCTCTCTGAGTTTCTCTTTCTCTGCTCTGCCGGCCTCCACAGACGCAGCTTTCAGCTTCTTCACAGGAGCGTCTTTTGGACTCTCATCTGCCTCAGACGACTTTCCTTCTCTCGGAGTCGACGCCGCCTTCTTCTCCATTTTAACCTTGGCCTTTTTGTCCCCCTTCTCGTCAGAGGACACTTTGACAGAAGCCCCGCCCCCCTGCGGAGCGTCGTCCACCTCGGGTTTCTTCTTGAGTTTGGCGCGCTCGTCGGTCGAGCTGCGCTCTCTCTCTTTGCGGTAGAGTCGATCAAACTTGCCCACAGAGCGCTGTCGGAGCGCCTCCTGGGCGCCCTGCTCCAACTCCAGGATGAACGAGTGCGTGCGACCTTTCTCCGACAGCTTCTTGGCGTCGCTGGAGTCTTCGGAGACGCTGCCGCTCATTCGTCTGCGCCTCTCGTCAGATGACGCCGACTCGGACAGATTTCTGGATAGTTTTGGTTGCGTCGTCTTTGCTGCTGCAGATTTCAATTCCTGATTGAAAGACAGAGCAGAGTCAGGAAGGTGGTGTTACCCCTGATGAGATCCAGATCAGTTTGACTTACCCCCCCTCTCTTTGATCCTTCACAGTCTCCTCTCTTCTTATTGGACACATCGCCCTCTTTCCTGCAGCGTGGAAACATCAAACACACGATGAACATCTGATCTACGGAGCGTTTCCAATAAAAGAAAAGGTGTTTCACTCGTTCAGTTTGTCGGCTTCAGAAGAGACTCGCTCCTGTTCAGACCGCCGTTTCAACACGCCATATTACACCTTCAGTGTGACATGTGGTGGAGGCTCTGAGGTTCTTACCTTGAGTCCAGCTTCCTCTTCCTGCTGAGCGCCATCTTCTTCTCCAGCACCTTCCTCTCTTTGCGAGCCTCTTTGGCTCGGGGACCCTCGAGCCCCCCACAGTCCCCGCTCTTTTGTTTCTTGTGATCTGTGCAGAAAGTCATGGAGGTGAATGATGCACACAAAACAGATTTCAACTGGAAGAAACAAACAGGAAGGAAACAGACCTTGTTCCTCAGCCTGCAGAGCTTTCTGCTTCCTCTTATCTTCCATGCGCTCTCGGTTCTGTTGTCTTTTGAGCAGACGTTCCTCTTTGTCCTTCGCCTGCCAGAAAAGAGACATTCACTTCATTCATCCAGCTCCTTTAAACATTCAGAAACACGACTTGAAATGCTGTTAAAGTCATGTTAACACAGAGAGATTTCACAGTTTGAGACTCTTATTTTGAAGGATTTTGTGGCTCTGACTTCAGTACTAATGAAGACTTTTGAACAATTGGTCAAAAGAGTTCTGACCAATCATGTTCGGGGCCTGCTTGACCTGATGCAATTTGCATATCAGGCAAACAGAGGAGTTTTATATTTCATCAGGTTGTGTTTTTGTGTCCACTGCTGCAAATCTAATTTGACAATAAAGATCTGAACTGAACTGGTTATAGTCCGATATGAGACTCAGAATATTCGTGTCCGCCTAAATTTCAAGTAAACACTCGACCGCCCTTTCACCGCCATCGTTTAAAATGATGGTCGAGATAAAAGGTGGCATCGATTAGACGGCATGTACACGATGCGTTCCCGTAAGGAAGTCGACCTCTTCAAACTGAGCCGGGTCAGAGAACTCGTCTGGACTTGGGGTCAAGCTCCGCCTTCATTAATGCTGACAGAACTCACCGCAGATCTGCGCCGCTCCTCCACGGTGATCTCATCATCCGAGTCGCTATAGTAACGGGAGTACAGGAACGGCTTGTGGACGTAGGCTTTGCGGCGAGGTTTGCGCTCGTCTCCTGCGTCCCTGTGTTTGTTCTCTTCACCTTGATCTGCAGAGAGATAGAACAAAGTTCTCAAACAATGTTTACCTGACGGAGCAGTCTAAGTTTCATAAACGCGGGGTCAGACCGTCTGATGGAAGCTCGCCCTCCTCTGAGGAATCCGACTGCAGCTCCTCATCCTCGCTCTCCTCCTCGAAGGACGACAGGTCGCTGGTGTGGACCGAGCTCACTGTGATGTCACTCAGACCGTCGAGGTCGGAATCCTCCAGAAAGTATTCTGAAAGAAGAACGACCACGTTTAACATGGACGGGTTCTGGCAGGGCTCCAGAGTGAGACCAGTTTGATCCAATATGCAGCTTGCAGTGACGGAGTTAACCCCTCCTTAATGTTCTTTTACATTTCATGTGTTAACATACAGTTTTATATACAATCATATATCAGTCTATATATCCATGTGTTGAGTTATAGTGACGTCTGCAAAATTAGTCCGGCCCACCTGAGGTCTCATTTGAACAAATCCGGCCCCCCCAATAGGACTTTGACACCCCTGCTTTACACCTTATTCTTGTTTAAAAATCATTCACATTATATGAAAGTTATGGAGAGTGATAAAAAGGTGATCTTATGGAGTTAAAGGCGGCGCAATGAAAAATTTGAGTGCACATAAATATTGTGCTGGTGCACCTAAAAAAGAAAGTTAGGAGCAACCAGTGCAACCAGTGCAAAAAGTTATTCTGGAGCCCTGGCTAGAATTTAGACTGCAGTACCAAACTCTTCAAAGTTACATAGTACTGAAAACAGCAAGCGGGGCGCTCCGTGGACATGAGAGGCGCCCTGTAGAAAGTTGTTGCACGGCTTGATCTTGAGGTGTGAACGTTACAGATCGATGCTTTAAGAGGACGCTGCCTGTTTGACACCAAATGGCAAAAAGCCAAAAGATATAAACGTTTCATTTACTTAAATCAGAGAATAAGAGGATCTGAAAAGTAAAAACTGTTTAGCACTTAATGTGTGCATGATGCAGGTCACACTGACACTCACCTTCTTTTATCCTTTCTCTGGCTTTCTGCTTGGCCTGACTCGTAGATTTAAGCGGATCTTCATCCTGCTTGTCCTCGGCTGGTTTGCCACTCGCTCTGCTTGCAGTTTTATCTTTCTCCTCGTCTGTCAGCTCCTTCACTCCCGACTCCTCTTCTTCTACTTTCACCTCCACTATTAACCCTTCTTTATCCAGATCCACATGTTCCTGAGCGTCCTCTGTCTTCACCTCAAACACTTGGACCTCAGACTCCCCTGACTGTTCCGGCGTCTTTCTGTCTCCTTCCTCAACCATTTCCATGTCCTGCTCTCCCTCCTCCAGCAGCTGCTCGTCTGGAGCTCTGCGTCCTTTGTCTGAGCTGGCCCTGACGCTGGCCTCCTGGTTCAGGGAGGAGATGGTTTCCAGGATGGACATGGCGTCGCTGGGGGGCGGAGCAGACGACGTGGCTGTAAAGAAAGGCATGATGAATGTTAAAGGAGCGATCAGTAGGCTATTTAAATCATAATATTAATTAATTAATAATTAATAATGTATAATATTTCATCATTTCTCATAAACATGACTAAAGCATTCAGTGAACCTGGCTCCAGAAGGCTGCTGTCTGGTTTGGTCTCTGGCAAAGGCAGCGGGGGAGGCGGCTCCTCAGAGCAGCTGCCAGGTGACAGAAACTCCCGGACCACCCTCTCCACCTGCGGCCTGAAGATATGGTTGATTTTAGGATCCACCACCTGGGCCACGATCCTGTCCACGCCCTGCTCCAGCATCCCAGACCTGCGAGAAACAGCCAGCTTTAATATGAAAAGAATCCTTTCTAAACTTTAAGTTAAAGAACATCTCTTTGTTCAGCACTCACTGGAGCACCAGCTGGCGGATGTTGTTTCTCAGCTGGTTCTTGTTCAAATGAGGGCTCCATGTGTGGTTAGAGAGGTGATTGGAGACAAAGTTATCCACTCTCTGTTTCAGGTTCAGGTAAGCAGGCTGCAAGAGAAAAAAAGAAGACATCAAGTTAAACAGCTTTTACTGAGCATTTGGACAGTTTCATCTGATAACAGGAATGTCTGAGCGGTGCCGCCCTCTTGCCTGCTGGAGGTCCCATGAGATCTTTAGAGTTTCCCCCCTGTGCATACATTACCCACAAAGCAACTGAAAAGACATCAACAGTCATGTTTGTTGTGTATTTCTCATAGCCGCGAATTTAGCCTCGAACTGCTGACCTGCCAGCTCCACAGTTTGAAAGACCTCCTCTTTAACGACTAAGAGGTTTGAAGTTTTAATGTTGATGAAATGAAAAGATAAACTTTATTGATCCCCCATGGGAACATCTGTACATCAGTGAAATAAAGGGAAAAGGCTTAGACAATAATAAAGTCTCATTTTGACTTCAGAAGCGTTCAGTTTCCACTGAGCTGCTCAAACATCCTTTTGTTCAGGATTAAAATCCTCAAAATGATTGAATGTTTGGTAGTTTTGAGCAGGCCGGAAGTTGTTTCAGAGATTTATGCAGAGAAGAATATAAATCTGTTTTATTTTTATATCAGTTTTGGGGAAGTGGACATGAAGCTGGCAGTAAATTAAACTGAAGCCTGAGAGTTAAACTAACTCAAACATTAAACACAGTTATAACAACATTAAGTAAACGTTTATTATCAGGTGATTTCATCTTCTTTAAACATTATCAGGTGATTTCGTCTTCTTTAAACATTATCAGGTGTATTAATCTTTAAACATTATCAGGTGTATTAATCTTCTTTATACATTATCAGGTGTATTAGTATTCATACATTATCAAGTGTATTAGCCTTCACACATTATCAGGTGTATTAGTCTTCACACATTATCAGGTGTATTAGTCTTCATACATTATCAGGTGTATTAGTACATTATCAGGTGTATTAGTCTTCACACATTATCAGGTGTATTAGTCTTCACACATTATCAGGTGTATTAGTCTTCACACATTATCAGGTGTATTAGTCTTCACACATTATCAGGTCTATTAGTCTTCACACATTATCTGGTGTACTAGTCTTCATACATTATCAGGTGTATTAGTACATTATCAGGTGTATTAGTATTCATACATTATCAGGTGTATTAGTCTACATACATTAGCAGGTGTATTAGTACATTATCAGGTGTATTAGTCTTCATACATTATCAGGTGTATTAGTCTTCACACATTATCAGCTGTATTAGTCTAAACACATTATCAGGTGTGTTAGTCTTCACACATTATCAGGTTTATTAGTCTTCACACATTATCAGGTGTATTAGTATTCATACATTATCAAGTGTATTAGCCTTCACACATTATCAGGTGTATTAGTATTCATACATTATCAGGTGTACTAGTCTTCATACATTATCAGGTGTATTAGTCTTCACACATTATCAGGTGTATTAGCCTTCACACATTATCAGGTGTATTATTCATACATTATCACGTGTATTAGTATTCATACATTATCAGGTGTATTAGTACATTATCAGGTGTATTAGTATTCATACATTATCAGGTGTATTAGTCTTCATACATTATCAGCTGTATTCATACATTATCAGGTGTATTAGTCTTTATACATTATCAGGTGTATTAGTATTCATGCATTATCAGGTATATTAGTATTCATACATTATCAGCTGTATTCATACATTATCAGGTGTATTAGTCTTTATACATTATCAGGTGTATTAGTATTCATGCATTATCGGGTATATTACTATTCATACATTATCAGCTGTATTCATACATTATCAGGTGTATTAGTCTTTATACATTATCAGGTGTATTAGTCTTCATACATTATCAGGTGATTTAGTATTCACACATCATCTGGTGTATTAGTATTCATACATTATCAGGTGTGTTAGTCTTCATACATTATCAGGTGTATTAGTATTCATACATTATCAGGTGTATTAGTCTTCACACATTATCAGGTGTATTAGTCTTCATACATTATCAGGAGTATTAGTCTTCACACATTATCAGGTGTACTAGTATATTATCAGGTGTATTAGTATTCATACATTATCAGGTGTATTAGTACATTATCAGGTGTATTAGTCTTCATACATTATCAGGTGATTTAGTATTCACACATTATCAGGTTTATTAGTCTTCATACATTATCAGGTGTATTAGTCTTCATACATTATCAGGTGTATTAGTCTTCACACATTATCAGGTGTATTAGTATTCATACATTATCAGGTGTATTAGTCTTCATACATTATCAGGTGTATTAGTACATTATCAGGTGTACTAGTCTTCATACATTATCAGGTGTGTTAGTCTTCACACATTATCAGGTGTATTAGTCTTCATACATTATCAGGTGTATTAGTATTCATACATTATCAGGTGTATTAGTCTTCACACATTATCAGGTGTATTAGTACATTATCAGGTCTATTAGTCTTCATACATTATCAGATGTATTAGTATTCATACATTATCAGATGTATTAGTCTTCACACATTATGAGGTGTATTAGTACATTATGAGGTGTATTAGTCTTCATACATTATCAGGTGTATTAGTCTTCATACATTATCAGGTGTATTAGTCTTCACACATTATCAGGTGTATTAGTATTCACACATTATCAGGTGTATTAGTCTTCACACATTATCAGGTGTATTAGTACATTATCAGGTGTATTAGTCTTCACACATTATCAGGTGTATCAGTATTCATACATTATCAGGTGTATTAGTATTCATACATTATCAGGTGTATTAGTCTTCACACATTATCAGGTGTATTAGTACATTATCAGGTGTATTAGTCTTCATACATTATCAGGTGTATTAGTACATTATCAGGTGTATTAGTATTCATACATTATCAGGTGTATTAGTCTTCACACATTATCAGGTGTATTAGCACATTATCAGGTGTATTAGTCTTCATACATTATCAGGTGTATTAGTACATTATCAGGTGTATTAGTCTTCATACATTATCAGGTGTATTAGTACATTATCAGGTGTATTAGTATTCATACATTATCAGGTGTATTAGTCTTCATACATTATCAGGTGTATTAGTCTTCATACATTATCAGGTGTATTAGTACATTATCAGATGTATTAGTCTTCATACATTATCAGGTGTATTAGTATTCATACATTATCAGGTGATTAGTCTTCATACATTATCAGGTGTATTAGTCTTCATACATTATCAGGTGTATAAGTCTTCACACATTATCAGGTGTATTAGTACATTATCAGGTGTATTAGTCTTCATACATTATCAGGTGTATTAGTATTCATACATTATCAGGTGTATTAGTACATTATCAGGTGTATTAGTATTCATACATTATCAGGTGTATTAGTCTTCACACATTATCAGGTGTATTAGTACATTATCAGGTGTATTAGTATTCATACATTATCAGGTGATTTAGTCTTCATACATTATCAGGTGTATTAGTCTTCATACATTATCAGGTGTATTAGTCTTCACACATTATCAGGTGTATTAGTACATTATCAGGTGTATTAGTATTCATACATTATCAGGTGTATTAGTATTCATACATTATCAGGTGTATTAGTACATTATCAGGTGTATTAGTATTCATACATTATCAGGTGTATTAGTCTTCTTTACCTTTGTATCGACGTCAGCCAGGCACTCCCTCCGGAACTGGTCGAAGAGTCCCTGAGTTTTTAAATGATTCACGATCATAGAGACCAGCTGAGGGTCTCCGGGAGGTAAACCGGACATGGTCTGGTCTTCAGTTCGTGTCCTCTGTCTCTCTGGTGTTTAAAATCATTCAAACCTGAAACACATCAGCTGATATTCAGCGTTAACACGAAAGAGAGGTTACTGTTGTGTTTCTGCAGTTCGAAGCGGCGTTGACCCGGAAGGACAATTCCTCCAAGACAAGTTAACCGGAAGTAGTAAATACAAGTTTATTTTAAATCATCATTTCTGATTTAATTTTAAAATATGTCGAGCTTACTGTATGGCTTGAGGTTAATTTTTAATTCTTATTAATCTTTATTTTACTATTTAATATTACATACTTTATCTAACTGAAAACGAACGAGAATCTCCGAGAATCTCCGAGAATCCCCGAGAATCTCCGAGAATCCCCGAGAATCTCCGTGTGGTCTGAAGCATAGACTGTAAATATTATAGTATATATATATATATATATATATATATATATATATATATATATATATATATATATTACAGAAGCTGTGTTCGTAGGGCGACCTCTAGCGGCGAGGAGCATCAAACATTTTCAGACTTCTTTATCCATTTAGTCTCATATTTATTTTATTAAAGATATATCACAGAAATAATATCCACAGAGTAACATACAGCAGCAGCCAGGACTATGAATGTTTTGTTACATAAATTTAAGCGTTTAATCTGCTTCT